TTCCATATAACATAACCAGCCATTATTCCACAGATTGATAAAATTCTATCAGAAATCACAGTAGCATTGTTTGAACTACTACTGCAGGAGTATTTCTTTAATGTGCTGGTGGTGAATATTCTCTCACCTCTTCTGCCAGACTTGGTGTCAATGTTTAATGATGGTAAGATACTCAGATCTGAATTTCAGAACAAAAATTGAGGCGTTTCTGTCATGTTTATTTAGCTTCTGATATGAAATCAGACTTGATTTTGGCCCACCATAGCAGTGCAGACTGCACAGGTGTTCCTGGGTTTTGGCTGTCTTTGGTGTGTTGCAGGTGGCAGAGTCAGTTGAACACCCAGTCCTCCAGGTGCTCACACTGCGTGGACTGGCTCGGCGTCATTCTTTCTTTATTTTCGCTGGAACATGAACTTTTGGGACCTATAGATGATATTAATTTGCTGTGACTGGTTTCTCACTGCAGGACGCCTACAACATGGCAGAGCTGCAGGTGTCTCTCCAGGCCAGCCCAGCCTATTCCCTCTGCAGGAGGAAAGAAACCCTAATCCAGCGGAAGGGTGTCCTTGGTGCCACGTCCCCCTGCACGCAGGGCCAGCCCCGAGCAGCAGCCACTGCAGGAGCCGCTTTTCCCAGCACAGACTTTGGTCAGTACCTGTCAGGAGTGCTCAGAGCAGCTGACTGGCACGGCCAGGCCCTGCCCCAGGACTCGCTCCGGGTGTTCTGCACAGAAGGAGCCGGATCGGGAGCCGGCAGCCTGAGCTCCCTGAGCTCCACTGGGCTGGAGGAAGGAACAGTCTGTGATGACATCAAAGAGTGGGGACCAAAGTTTGAGAAGCTGAGTGAACTGTACTCACAGAGAGATACAGGAGACCAGTAGATCACCAAGTCTCCTATTTTCAGTTTTGGAAGCAAGGGTGATATTTTTCATGCTCCTGCTCTGTACTACCCTTACCCTCCCTTTTTGACTTGATACAACAGGGATTCAGGTTCTCTAAAGAGCCACACTTGGCAGTGAATTGAAAAGTGTGAAGGAGCTAATCTTAGGACATTCTGAACATTTACATTTTTGGACATAAACTTACTGGGAAGAATAAAGGAGAAGTTGGGGTACTTAATCATTCACATACAGTGGTTAAGAAGTACAGAACTTTTTCTGTTGCTGAAGTACCACAGGACTCAGAGATCCCAGCACACAGCCTGAGGTGTGCTCAGAGCCCGAGAGAAGTGTGCTGGGAGTGCTGCTTCAGTCGGTGCTTTAGCAGTTATTTGAAGATGAAAAGCACATTGTCTTTTTGTTGTGCAAATCAAGTCCCTGTTGTATTATATCCCTCTTGTTCCCTGGAGTGAGCCCAGTGAGAGCTCCTGCTCACTGACCATCCTGCAGGTGAGAGTCCACGGTTCCAGGTAAAGGAATGAACACGTGGATGGTGGTTTGAACTTCAGTTATAACATAATGAAATTTCTTTATCCTGTCAGACAAATACAGAAGCTGGATTCAGGCACAACACATCCAGCCAGCTGCTTACAACTCAATGCTTTTCCTAAGGAAAAGGCCAGGTAAGAATTTCAGTAGCAAACCCTGCAGTTCACCATGATCTCTCATTAGTAACTCAGCCTGAACTGTGCAATAGCATCTGCAGTTGTGTCCCCACATTTTTCTGAACCTCCTTTGACAGAAGCATTGCAGGAATTGGGTTTGAGAGGCTGTCACTGCCTGTTCTATAGAAAAACTGACCAGCTACAATTGGAGCCAAGTAATGCCATGCCAGGAGGAGCTAACTGGGAACACAGATGCATTTCCAGTGAAGAAAAAACTCTGCATCCCTTGGAACTATCCTGTCTTTAGGATGTCAGAAGAATGAAGGTCTTTCCAAAAAGAACTTCACACACCCCTGGGACTTCTGAAAATAGTCCTGTAATAAACAAAATTCTGGGACCAGAGAAACACAGGTAAAAGCTAACAGCAGGAGCATGGGATGGAATATTATGCTCTGAATTACCAGTCCCTTTTTCAGACCATTTATGTCCAGCTACTATGCTGGATTTTTCTTAAACCTGACAATATTGGGCAGAGGGAAGGTGCCACAAAATTAATTTTGATTTTTTTTTTTGAGACCACTTGTACAGCTAAATGGAGTACAGTGCAGCAAGATCAAAATCCTAAGCTGTGCTATTTATATATTATATGTAATTTATATCTATTATAATATATAAAGTATATATAATATGTACATCATATATTATCAGATGATAATATGGATATGTCCTGGATTCTAATAATTTGTTTCATTGAAACAAAGCATGAAACAATGTATTGCAAAAGACATTAAAACTCCTTTGCTCACAGTTGCATCTGTAGTTTGTTTTGGGAGGCTTTGCTTTTATTTTTATACTATATTTAAAACCATAAACCATAAGTGAATGCTGTCTGCAGGCTGTGAGACATGTTCACACAGTACCTCGTTCTCGTGCATTTGTGACACACTGGAGAATCTCGAGCACACCATTAACCACTGGTTACACACTGCAGCTGATGGGCATTTTCATCTGGAAGAGCTAAATCCCAATTTTACCCATGCCCAGTGGTTCCAGTTCACAGAAGGTGCAGAGCCTACGATTTTGTAATTTTACTGACACGTTTGCCTGTGGGGAAGCCTTGGCTGGAACATCTTACAGTGTTCATAAATCTGCTGTGCCTGTATTTCATGATCTCGGCACTCACAACAAACAGGATATGGGAAATGAAGCAGATCTATATTATGCACAAAAATCTATTATTTCCCCCAAAAGCAGTAATTTTGTCTGCATACCTTGTGTTCTCCCCATACCTGTGGACAGGCTGTTGCTTTGGCTGGTTTTAATTTAATTTAGCCTGTAAGCTCCCTGGGGCCAAGACTGACTTGACTTGCCTGTGAAGTGTCCTGCCTATCTAAGGCACCATATAAATAATAAACCAGCCTTCTGTGCAGGGTGTCTGCCTCACTTGTATGTAAGGTCGAGTGAAGTGTGGACTCTTGAATTATTTCTCTCTCAGTTTTGATCAGATACTTCCACAGATTTGAGTCATGGGTGCTGAGCTGCCTGAAAAGCCTCTAACTGAGGTCTGGACTCAGGCTCTGGTTACACACTCAAAGGACATGTCACCACTTTGGTGTTTTCCCCAGGGGCCACAGCCCACCCTGCTCCCAGAGGCTGCTGTGTGGAGATCTTGGTCCCAGTTTTCAGAGCTGTTACTCCAGCCCTGAAATACTGGACTGGTCCCTGGGTGAGACAAAAACAAGCCCCATCACAACTCTGTCTCTTGGTGCCTGGGAAACCCACGGGCAGATGGGTCACACAGAGCAGCTGCTGAGGTTGAGATGCCTCAGTGCTGTTCCCAAATGTTGCTGCTGTACTGCTGCTTCCTCCCCCGTTACAGCTGTGGCCCTAATTTGTAACCAAACATTAATAATAACACCCCCAGCCTCGGAGCTGCCTCTGTAATCACAGCCAGCCAGAATACACAGAATATAAAACAAAAGGGCAGGAAACATTTCAAAGCTGCTCTAGGAACTTGTGTCGATACAATCTCAGTAATAGGACACACTCATTTGCAGCTGTCATGCCCTATTAAAGCCTACTCTTCCTCTTTCCAGAGATTACTAATTAGTTCACTTAATTTATCTCTTTTAATTTGCATGCTGCTCTTTTAATTACTGTGCAGTTGCTGAAATCATATCCTCACTTGTTCTGCATTTACACAGACACACACAAATATGTCAGTGCCTCTACAAAAAGGCTTATCCCAGCACAGCCACTGCCATGGCTCCTGGAGAGAACAGCTGGCTGCCCAGGGAAAGCTGTGCAGCGGGTCAGGGGGGAAGAAAAAACATGGAATAAAAAAACCACTGGGTCCCTAGGTACTGGGATTTTCAGTAATCTGGTACTTTTATTAATCTTCTTCCGTGTTCTTTACAGACTTTAAACATGTAGTAAGAACATTTTATTTAGTATAAAATATTTGTTAAGGCCTGAAATTTAAATAATCATGTGGATATTAGTATTTAATCTGTCTGCCTGTCAACTACATTAATCTTTGTAGTATTCCTCTATTAAAATAATGTTCCAAGTAGGCAACATGGAGCCAAGCCATATGAAAGCTGATTGTCCTTAGGTCTGACCTACTGACCAGCAGGTTTAGAAGGGAAAATGTGGCTGTAAAGGAGCAGGGTTAGGTGAGCAAAAGAAAGTTGAGCATTTTCTTAATTACAGAAATGATAAAACCCATGCCTGGGGATTTAAATGAGGAGGTTCTCTGGAGCCCAGAATCCCTTCCATGCAAGCACACACCATGGGATGTGCGGATCACGTCCCATAAATTAAATTAATCTTACAGCAGTGCAGTCTGTACCTAATTAACACTGGTGACAAACTCCCCCAAGCCCCCTTTAGAGGAGTCCTGCACATGGGAGGCTGTGATTGCCCTTGGGCACCACAGGGGAGAGAGACAAAGCCACACCAGGCAGTTGCACCTCCAGCCCTGCACATCCCACTTCTCCTGCCACAAGACTCCTACATCAGGACATCCCACTTCACATAAAGCCCTTGATAATGTACTTTTTCGCTCCCAAAGAACACGTGTTTCTGCTCATTAGGAATACTAAACTTGACCTACAACATGGAAACAAGCAGATCCCTAATGATCAAAGCAAAGTGTACTTATTTAAATTGAGAAACTTTCTCAGCCTACTGGAGTTAATGTGCATTGAGTGATGACTGGTGAAAATCAAGGCTGGCACCTTTAACTTGTACCAGAGAAAGGAAGCCCAAGCTGTTAAAATACAAAGGTGATTCCAAAAGTCAGTGATAAACATGATGTAATGAACTCAAGAAAAGTCAAAACTTCCTGCTGAAAAATGTTTTGCTTTCCGCAATATGGACTTAAACAAAGATGATTCCCTAACCAGGCCTTTCTCAATCCCTCCCAACATAAAGACAAGCAAAAAGTGATTTTCAAATTACACAATTTATTTAGTATACAATAGTCATTACATCTCTTTACAACAACATATTATAAAATAACTATGTTAGATCTCACCAGCAGAACACTGAAACAAGAAATGAAAATACACTTATGGATCTCAAAGGCTTTCCTCTCCTAAAAACGTTCTGGCTCCTTGATAACATTTCATCTCTGCAATCTAAAAAAAGTAATTCATACCACAGTCCCACTGATAATGTGCAGCTTGAAAGTCCTCGAGGACACCAAGAACACACATGTCATGTCCCTGCCATTCCCACTGCTATAAGACTTGGTACATGCACTGCCAGGAGGGTTGTTCCTGGGGGTGGATCATCCCTAATTGACTGGGACAGTGATGTAGGGCAACCACTTGGAAATAAGGTGCATCAGGATGATGTCGTTCAAGAATATGAGAGTTATTTTAACAAAAACTGCACATTTTTAATGCAGTGAATGGAGATCACAGCAAGACACAGGAAGTAGATAAAATAATTACCAATTAAAACACCACCCACCTGTGGCAATGGGAGGTGCAGCCCCTCTCCCCGCAGCCCTGACCCTTCCCAGCTGGCCCTGCCTCCCCAGTCAGCCTTACACAGGGGCAGGGAAGAGCTGTTCCCTCTCCTCCAGGGCTGGGTTGGTGTCCTTCTGCTCCTCTGAGCTCTGGTAAGTGCTTTTGTTCCTTGGCATTCTTGGATTTACTGTTTTAGGGAGGTTGGTGTCTGAATGCTGCACTACTGTCTCTGGAATATCCCTTAGTGTTAAACCTTTCTGAAAATAGGTCTTTCTGTTTAAAAACCAAACCAATGTGCACTTGGTAGTTTCTGTGAAAAGGTTAAATTTCTCCTTTGGCAATATTAGAGATGGCATTTTTGAACCAAGTCTGTTTAAAAATAATTATTGTTACAGTCAAGACTTCTTAATCTCAGTTATTACCTGTAAGTAAATTCTGAAAAGCATAGGGTACCACTGGGCCTGGGAGTCCCTCACCTCCATCAGAGGAAAGTTACTGCACCATTCCAGAAAGATCCAATTGCATTTTAGAACAAGCCAGCACAGCCCAGACATACTTTACCTTTCCTGTGCTTGTTTTCAATTACTGAAGGCACTCATTGAGGGATTCACTGACCCGGGCTTGCAGCAAGAACAGCCATGCATCATTACAGGCCTAATTAAAGTTTTAATACTGATTAAAATGTTTTATTATTGTATTATGTTAAACTGCGGTGGTCTCCAACCTCATTAAGGGATACAGGCTAGGAATTACTCAGGAGTTTCAGCTGCTGAGTTTAACAACCCAGCTCCTGTCAGTGTGTGATTTAACACACCCTGACTACAGCACACTCGCCTTTTGTGTCAGCCAGAAATGCAGGAAGATGTTGAACATTGTTTAATGAGTATTTACTGAATATAAAATTGTTTGAGCATATGACATAACCATCTCCATCTCTCTGGTAATTTACCTTGGTACAACTGAAAAGGAAAAACACTTAAATCACTTGGAATTGGAACCCAGCTCAGTTGTGAAAGCTAATCTCATTACACATCTTGATTAAATTAAATGTGGAGTTTGCTATCTGTAGCACTTTCAGTTTCCCATCATTAGAAATTAATTGCAGTGGTAATTACTATAACTGAGTTATTTGCAAGGCCACAAACACTCTTATAGGTGTTCAAATGTTAATTCAACCTGGGCCTAGAGGCACTTGATTATTACAGTTGTGTTCTTCACAAGAAACAAATGATCCCGGTGGATCTCTTAAGATGGAGAGCACTGTGAGACTTCCAGATTTAATCTCTAATTTCAATCTAAAACCAAAGAAGTGCTAAAACACAGCAAAAGCCATGTACCTCCATAGCATTTAGCAATTCAGTACAATTCACAAAGTTCTGGCTGGTAAAAAGACAACGGGTACAAACAAATCACAAAATTCTCAGCACAGAGGCCTGGCTTCACTTAACCTTCCAAGTATTTTAAAATACCTGTAGTCTCTGTTTTAGGATAAAGAGCAAGGACACAATGATTTTGTGCTAAAATATAGAGCTTAGTGTCTGAAATAACACAAAGCAAAGCTCCAGTAGCTGAACATATCTTAAATACCGAATTTTCCTGCTGATTTAGGGATGAGTTTTTCTTTTGTAAGGTTGGCAGTGTTCAATTTTGATATCCTACTAGGATTCTCATGGGGAGAAAAAGGATCCCCTGGAGTTCAGAAAGTATATACAGAAAACAGTGGTGTGAGAATGCAAACTGAGAAATTTGGGGTTTTGTTTGTTCTGAGCACTTTAGAAGGATACAAACATGCAACATGTATCAAGCATGCTCCAGCCTTTAGTCTCACTAGAAATACGTAACAGTCCATCATTTAACACTTAATGTTATAAAACAGTATGTCTCTGATCACTAAAAATGCTGGACAAGGATTAAAGTTTTAATCTTCAAACTTGTTTGCTGAATCTGCACTCACTGATTCTGCAATCACACACTCAAGCTTCGAAACTCATATCTGCACACATTCCCAAAGAATTCAAAAAGGAGGCACTGAAAGAGCAAAAGGATCTGTCAAAGAGGATCAGACTGTGAGACAAAACTTCATTTTGTGACCATTTTCAGAATTCACAAAGATAATGCATACTCACAAAAGGAGTAGCATGGGCTGCTTTCACTAAATTTTTATTATTTTAGAGTAAAAATCTGAACTGCTGAGCAGATTCACAGGCTGGCACTGGGCAGTGCTCCCACACACTGCTGCCTTTGTCTTCCAATCAGTTCAAACTGGAAAACAATTATATCCTAAGTATTCCAAGGGTCAGAATTCATAACTGAAATGGTCCCTGCTAGCATTTATTTATGAATCTATGAAAAATTTGGCAACATCAGGAATGTTATCAAAACTAATCTGTCTAAAAAAAAAAAAATCACAGTAATTAAACAAGAAACCATCAACGTAAAACGTTCTTAAAAACGTAACCTGTTTGTAAACTTCATCTGCAATGCCTAATGTGGGTCCTAGCAGTAAAATACTGACCTTGAAGCCATGGTTGGAAATGTTATTTATGCTTGGCAAGTTTGTAAACATGGAATGTTTTGTTTTGAAACACTCTGGTGAAGTGTGTGGTGTAAGAAGGAAGGTTTTTCTTAATTTCCTCACAGAAGCGAGGATACAACGCAGGTTTCAAATCGGGTGCGTTCTCTCCCAAACCATCCATGATCTGCAAAGGAATGGAACAGATGTGTGAAATATCTTTAGCCAGTTCACAGTTACAGGCAATAACAAGTTAAAAACAATCTTGACAATACACTCAGAGGGTCAGGCTGGCCAGGTTTGTTAACAGTATGAAACAAGTGGGAGGAAGGAAAGAGCTTTAAACCAGTAAGATTTATAGTATCATCTCTGCATGGATAAAGCTGGTTTGTCAGAGGTCCATATCTGCTTTGGCTTGTTCAGTCTGCTCTGGTTTCATCTTGAGAACTCCCCTGGCACAGAGCAGTAACACACCCGCTGCTCCAGAGGGAACTGAAGCTCTGGAGTGATTTACACTCTGGAAGGAAACACTGTTTGAGTACTGCAAACCTGAAGCTCATCAGGAAGTGATTACTTATTCTGCCCAAGATGAATCCCCCCTTTTTTATTCTCAAATACTATTAAAAACAATGTTCAATGTGGCCATTTTGACAATGTCTAAAGGCATCATTAGATTTTCCTTCCCACAGAGCTACTTCAAATGGTAACGGCATTTCAAAAAGAAGTCAAGCAAAATTAATTTTGTTTCTAAATCTTGTCTCCAACACTTACATGGCCATTGGCTACATCAAGCAGGTCCCGTAAGCGGCAGCCTCTGCTGTGCCTCCTCTCATAACAAATGCTGTCCTCCAGGATCACGTAGTCCGTGCCAAAGGACCGCAGGATTCCGTGCACGTCCTCAGGAGATCGCTTGGCATAGATCTGATAAATCTAGAGAACAAGATAAATCTAAGCTCTAAGACACATGATACTGCCACTATTTCTTTGTTGGCTCAGAAAGAACTGAGATAGAGAAACCATGTGATTTGAATTAACTATTATAAAAACAATATATAAATGCTTTATTCAGCAGCCACTTGGAGTTTGTGTGTTATGGCTACTTGGATGCACAACAGAACTGCTGCTGACTACACAACACTGGATGGTGCTGGCAGACTGGGGGAATGTCTAAGTTACAGGAAAGGGTAGGTGAAAACAGGGTCCCCAGCTCTGTGTGGAGTTTCTCAGGGTGGTTTCTATCTAAAATGTGTTGTGCTGGTCTGGGAACTGAAGGGAGGATCAGGCAAATCAAGAAATGCTCCACATGGGTTTAACGGGCTAGCTGGGCACCAGGATCTACTGATGCCAACAGAACCCAAACCAGTGCCCTCAGGACTAGCTGAGTACCCAGGCACAGCAGTTTAGACACACCCCAGCTGCCAGAGGTGAGTCAGCAGATGCCCAAAGCAAGAGTTTCACAGAAGCAGGTAAATCCTGGGCCTGTGTCTGACAGTGAATTACCTCAGCGAGTAAAGCACCCGATGCCATTTGCAATGTGCTATTAGAGAGGACATTTGTTTTCTGGAGTGGAGCCACTGACATGGACAAGAACTAGCTTAAACAATCAGAACACTCTTACCTGCTTTGTTCTCTCCCTCAGATTCTTATCCTCATAATGGGGATGGTTAGTTAAGGTCCGTCCAGTGCACAGTTTGACTCCTGCTAATAGCTGCATGCTCCCAGCAAACACTGCTGTGTTTGGAGTGTTTGACCTAAACAAACGTTGATAAGTCTGAGGAAGTCTCTGTAGGGGCGTTTTTGCAATGCTTGTGACAGATCAGAAGGAAAAAAAAGACTGCAAAAATATTTTTCTGCCTCTGTTCAGGGAGTAATCTGTTCAAGCAATGGTGTTTTGTTTAAATATAGGGGATAAAGTGGATAAATTGTGATAATACTCTAACTGCAAATAAAAAATTCTCTAAGCATGATGAGGAAATTTAAGGAAAACATGATCCTGAAAATTTCAAATTATTTCTATATTTCATAGGTTCATAAAGCCTTTGAATATTGATAAGTTCTATATTCTAATTCTCTTAATATTTCAGAAAACTTATTGTGACTTAGATTTCTGTGTGATATATAGAGGTACTTTATATAAAATGGATTATTTAATCTGAATGGTAAAATTTCCTGTTCCTCTCCTGGCATTCACCATTCACTTGGAAAGAAAACTGTTATGCTGAGGCTTGGGGCAGGGGAAGATACAGAAGATGCCAGATGCTGGCACTTACTGGTACTGTGATCTCTGAAATTCCAAGCCAATGTCTAGAATTGTTATCTAAATAGCAGCCTTGGTATTTTAGGATTGTTTCAATACCCATAATGAGAAAACTGTTTTTGCTCACCTTCCCCCCAACAAGTTTACAATCTAAAATGTATGTAAAGACACGAGAGAAGGGCATAGCAGAAAGAAAAGTAAAAATTCCAGGCAATAGACACTCCTATAATCAGGCTAATTAAAACTGGCCATCAGTGTTTTCTAGTCCTTAGTAGGCACATTTTCGTGGAAAGGTCTATGAAGACTACAACAGCAGAAAGAAGCACACATTAGATGGAGTAAAATGAAATTAGAGTGTGAATAGTTGCCTAACATCCCTGTGCATGCATATGTGGCACCTCTAGTACTCAGGTAACTGTGACACTTTGGGTGCACTTAAGGGAGCCTTTGGGAACTGCAGCTCTAAAGTCAGTCGTCTTTAAGCTCCATGATCGGCTTGGGAATGTTGAGAGACAAGTATTAAATTTTATTATCGCCTTTCAAGAGATTATGCTTAGCAAATGAATTAATAATTACAAACCCTTCCAAGGAATTCTTGCACTGGTACATTAATCTCATCTAGGGAGGCCAGAGACAGTATTTTTAATAGGCCAGTTTAACTTTACTGATCGACTAGTTCTTCAGCACTTTAGAAAACCAGTTTTATTTTAAAGTCTGAAAATATTTAATCTCTTAAAAATTATTTTTTTTTTTTTACTTAAAATATTCAAAGTTACAAGTGTCACAAAGTAAATGTTTCGCTAAAAGAAATGAATTCCTGTTAGAATTTATGCTAATGTAATGGCCCTGACAGGCTGTCAGCCAGGACTCATCCCTGAATCTGCAGGAAAGCACAAGTCTTTAGGCTAAGCTGCAAAGGACATGGGCTAAACTCAGAGGGACTGGGTGAAGCTTAGACACCTGAAAGAAAAAGATGATTCTCAAAGCACCTTCAACATGTTTCCGTGTTGATGCCTCGGCCGGGCAACTTCTAGTGTGATAAAATGGTTTCTGTGTTTGTTCAAGATTAGTTCAAATTTTAAAATGCTCTGCAGTACTTAGCTCCTACCTTGGCCTTACCAAGGCAACCCTGCACCTCGGATTGCAAATTTGCATTATAATGGTCTCTCTAGCAGACTCAAACTTCCTTAAACACACTGATACAGCCCCCCCCACAAGTACCAAAGGCAAAACCACAGGAAAACAAGCAAACAACAAAAAAAGCCAAACCAGCCTGCAGCCTCTTTTCTTTAAAAAGAAGGCTAAAGGAAACAGTGAGTGCCCCTAATCCATAATGTGTAAAAATGCTTGTCAAAAATGTAGAATCATAGAATATCCTGAGTTGGAAGGGACCCACAAGGATCATCCAGTCCAACTCGTGGCCCTGCACAGACACCCCAACAATCCCACCCTGTCCCTGAGAACATTGTCCAAACCCTCCTGGAGCTCTGGCAGCCTTGGGGCTGTGCCCACTGCCCTGGGGAGCCTGGTCAGTGCCCAACCACCCTCTGGGGGAAGAAACTTTTGCTGAGATCCAGCCTAAACCTCCCCTGGCACAGCTCCAGCCGTTCCCTCGGGTCCTGTCCCTGGTCACAGAGAGCAGAGATTGGTGCTGCCCCTGGTGAGGAAGCTGCAGACCCTGATGAGGTCTCCCCTCAGAAGATGGATCATGTAGAAGATGCAGGGTTCCATTCCTCCCCTTTCCAAAAACATTCACTCCTGCCCAGAAGGGCTGAGTGCATTCTTTATTTACCAGGTAGTAAGAGTTTTGCCAGCACTCCTCCCTGTACCTTAAAAGCAACCTAGTGACCCTCCCTTTTCTAACAACTGGCTTATGTGCTCTGGTCCTGGATGGAGTTTAAACTCCGATGTTCCAGGTGAAGGCAGATGTTTCCCTGAGACTCAGATTTACATGTTCAAAGTCCTAAAAAATTATACTCCTTCAGACATATCACTGTCCATATTTTACTGGGCCAGCTCAGATCTTTCCAGACCAACAGCTGCTACTACTGGAGCCGCTGGAGAGACCCTAAGGAATACTTCCCAGGGATAGGATGACTTCCACATTCCATGGAAGCTCTTTCCCCTGTGCCCCTGTCTGAGCCAGGCACTAACTGCATTGCTCTGCACCCACTGCACCCATTGTGCTGCAAACCACTGAATGACACTTCTCTATTACACAGAAACGAAGCAATTTTTACAACTGTCTGAGCAAATGATGTATAAAATGAAAGGATAATTTGTTTTATAGCTCTCTGCCAAGCTCCATACCACACTGCCCAACCTGCAAACAATTTATTCTCTAGGAAATGTCACTAAATAATGACAAGGACTTACAGGTCAAACTGATTTACATTATATAATTTAAATGCCATTCCAAGCAGACCTGATGGCATTTTGAACAAATAATCTCATTTATTTTTGAAGCTCTAAGCTTTCAACAAGTTAATTACAGCTGAACTAATGGGTAAACTAAGCACTATATTATATTGCAGGAAGCTTTTCTTTACCTACACTTAAGAATTTAGAGAATTATATAAATACTAAAGAATAACTCATTAAAAATAAAAAGGTTTCACAGGAAGTACTTGCACAGACTCTGAAAGTCGTAGTAATTCTTTCTCTTAAACTGCTAAGAAATTATTGTGAGCTGGTTTTAAGGCAGCACTAAGGAAGAAACGGCCAACATTGCAATTACAGGTTGCACCATTAGAAATAAAATGGCTATTTCTACTAATACTCCCCCAGAGATGAACCCTGTAGTTGGCTTTCAAAGCCATAAAATCTGACCAGCCTCAGATTATTCCTTTACTAGTGCTCGAGTCTGATATGAATCCTTTGAGGAAAAGGAGATTCTGGGGAGGGGTTCTTAAATACACCATGAAAAATATTTCTTTTTCTTTAAAATAAACTCTTTTTATTTGCAGAGTGCTATAATAAAATATCGCAGGATTAGCTGGAGGTGATAGGCAGTAAAGCATATTCAGTCATACTGTCATGGTTCTTTTTTTTCCCTCTGGTTTGGAGAGACTGAAAATTGCAAAAATGGAAAACGACAGCCACAAAGGAAAAGCAACAAGATGCATTTTTGTTAGTCCCAGCCTCAAGTTTATGCATGCAGATTTTGCTCACATAAAGGAATGCACCTACACAGTTGGTGGAAACCTAGTTCTTAGGCACTGTCACGTTCGTGCCTAAATTTTACTGACAAATCAGTCAATGACAAAGGATAAGCCCAAGAATTTAAGAACAACAATTAAAAAAAAAAAAAAAGGTGTAATGTTGCCTTTAAAGTCTGGGATATGTGTTGATTTCAGTGTGATTACCCTTGAAAATTAGGCATGTAAATAACAGAGATGAGTTAAAATTTTTAACTGGTTTGAAATTAAAATATAGCCACTAATATAAATTAATAAAAAGTACTAAATGAAAGAACCACCACTGAAACACGGGTATTTCATTTCCATAACCTTAGGAGCCTTTTAGAACTTTGTGGGGTTTCCACTAATGTACAAATTTGCCTGCTTGTCCCCCACACCTGGTTCAAGTACAGCTGACATCCAACTATGCTCTGCTGAATCTCAGGCTCAGTCAACTTTTCCACTGTTTTGGCTGTTGCCTGAGATTTCTAAGAAGTTTTTCTGTGATTTTTGGCAACTGCTTAGGAAATATTCCACAATTCTAGACAGATTTCCCCTTTAAAGGCAGAAGACGTTGCTTCTTTAGCACTTACCAGAAGTAAACAGAGTAGGGAAGTTCACGCTATTGATTTGCTCATTCTACTGATATTCTTCCCCATCTCACAAATGAGCATGTTGTTCCTGTTGTCTTAGGGAGAAAGACCAAAACTAAGAATTTTAATGTACCTCCCAGCAGGGAACAGAGAGCTGTGAACTATCCCTGGGGCATTGGCAGGACCTTCTTGACTTTTTTTTTTTTAAAAAAAAAAAAAAAGCTAAGAAAATGAGGTGGTGGGTAGGAAAAAGCAGAGACTGGGATATGAAAGATCATTTTGTAAAAAACCCGTGCTCTACAATTGTACAGATATAAACCACTAGATCTTCCTGAAAATGCTATGGCAACTTGAGTAAGGGGAAAAGTAAGAAGTACATCTGCAGACACTTCCCAGTGGACAGACTAATAGTTGGTCATTATTCAGATTGTGTACTTGGACAAGTTAATATGCATTTAGAACTAAGCAGACAGAAGGGTTTTCTTGTTGTGGAGAGATTGCAAGACAGATGAGTTATTCCTAATTCACTGCTATACATGACAAATTAAGAGATTTTCATACTGAGTTTTAATAATGAATGATTAGCTCCTGACACCAGCCTTGACAGGTCATTAACTACAGCACAACTATCAAGTGTTGGTACAGTAACATATTTCTCTTACACGCCAAAACTTAAGAAAATCTGTCCCACTTTGAGAAACTTATCATAAATTTTGTTGACTGGTATTTAAAGCACAGATAACTAACTCTTCTTTACAGGAATAATATTTCTAAACACAGTAAATTCTAAGTAAAAAAAATTCCCTCTGTGATTGTCTGTCATGACTTAAAATGAAGAGAGGACAAGCACCAGTTTAGCATTCTCAGCACTAAGAACACATGAAACATTACTCTCATTGGAGCCAGTCAAATCCAGTTCGTGGCTGGGAATAACTCCACATGCATATTTTATGTATAAATCTATATATAACTCTATATATTGTACACAGGAGACCTGAACTATCAGACATTTACCATCTTTTAATAAAACAGTAGTGCTAAATGGAACTGGCTGGTAAACATTTGTCACAAAAACATGTCAATAAGGCTGCAAGGATTCTAAATGATGCAAAAAAACATGGCCTGCTTTCAAAATAAGTCAGTGAAGGCTTGTAATATATTTTACTTCTGAATTACTCCTTCTAGTTTATGAATTAAAGAAATACAGCATTATGGAGAGTAAATATGTTGCTGTGGATAGAATAGGCTGGGTGACTGGTTTCACTGAAGTTCATTGCATTCGAAGGAAATACTCCAAACAGTTGTTTATAATTATTATTATGTTAAATCCAGATTTACTTTCAGAATGTTTTCCTCCAGAATATGAAACTGACTTTCTTTTTAAAAAATCACTGTCAGAGTTCCAAATAAATACAGGTCTCAGGAATCTCCCTGTTAAGAACTTAGCCTGAAAGTTTTCAGTGGTTGCTGCATGTTAATAGAGAACATACCCCTTGAATTCACAGCCCTCCAGGGACCATCCTACCTGGCCTCTTTTCTCAGCCCTTCCACATGCAGTACTACAAACTGTTTGCACCTTCCTGTGCAAACACCTCCCTGTGCTCTGTGAGAAAGCAGAAGTGATGAGGTGGGGTTGGAATGATAAATTCCTGAAAAAGACTTTGCACCTATGCTTAGCTGGGACAAGTTCAAGTTCAATTACAAATATTTTGTTTGCAGTTTAGAAGGCTTGCTGGGATTAATACTAACAAGTATAAACAATTTAGATTGTTTTAAAGCTCAAGAAACAGAGAGTACAAATTTTTGAGTCCTACCATTGTACATCCATGCTTTTTACCATTATAAAGTTGAGAAGGACACCAAGTTAGGGGGACAAAAATAAAACAATTTCACTGTAAAGGTCTATTAACGTACAGAGGTAGCTAAATATGATGAAAGAAGCTTGACACGTCCCAATTTACCTCTTTTGGCTGGGAAAACTATGTGTACTTATGGGAGTAAATGGAATCAGATGGTTCCCTGAGGCACATGAAACACAGCAGTGGTACTGAACCAGAGTGGTCTGGGGGGTCTGATATCCCAACCTCTTGGTATCCCACTCACCCTAACTATCTCCACGGGTCACCAGAGTTCACTGATGAGCTGTGACAAATAAGGGAGAACACTATAACTAAGAACATTAGATCTACACAAATAGCATTTAACTTAAATAGAGAAAAAATCCTCTTACTTAATCCAGTTCATCAGCTCCACAGTGTCTGGGTCATAGAATTCTCTCAGCTCTGATAGTTCATCCATTATTCCTGGCCAGAACTATAATGGAAACCAAATAGAACAAACTCAAGACAGAATGAACAAAACAAGTTCTGGATGCTGAAACATATTATTCCCTCTTAGCTGGCAAATGATCCAACCAAAAGACTATCAGAGTAAAACATTTCAAAATTTACTGCAGACAAAGAATACGTAAATCGAATCTGGAGCAGAGAAAAAATGATTGAAACTGATTCTTTAAAGCTTAACCCTCCCCCCAAAAAGCTAAGAGAACAAAGATTTATTTAAGGGTTTCTTGTTCAAGCTAGTGAATAGTCAAGGGAAGAAGGGAGCATTAAGGGAGATAATGACAGTGCTAATGACAGATTGCTGTGCTTCAGTCTTTACTACAGAGGCTGTTACAGTGAAACCTATTCCAAACCTGCTTTCTTTAGATAGTATGGATTGCTGGCTTGAAAACTGAAATGCTACAAGAAAAAGTGTTAAGAAAACCCACCTGATAATCTAAAAAGCCATAAATCATCCAATTTATATAATGCTTATCCAAGCGTTCAGAAGGAATTTGAATGTGGTGCTGCTGAGCTTCTTTGCAAAAACATGCATTCTTTCACTACAACTGTAATTATGTAGGAGGACTGGGGAGCAGGAGATATAATTGGGCCAATTGAGATACTTCTTAGTTTAACTGTTTACCTGACACATTTACATTTGTTCAAGTACTACTGGCTGGTAGATTGAGAAACAACCAATATAGTTATGGCAGCATCACAACCCTGCAGCTTTGGCAAGTATGGAAGTACTATCACAGACATATTTCTGCTTTTTAGAAGCTCTCTCAAGAGATTAGTAAATAAACTAAGCTGTTGTGAAATGAGACTGTAGAGTCTCATAATGGATCAAAATTTCTTCTCTCCATTACTAAACTAGCCTGGATAGCTAAACATTCTGAAAGCTTGGATCCTTCAGGGGGGACACAGGAAATGAGCCTGGGACACTGCTCTCTACTGAGTGCTGGGGCTATTATATGGCATTCACTCATCTGTAGAGGTTTTACAAGTCACAGTGTCACACTTCTGCAATTATTGAGTCAGTACAAGCAGGTTTCACTGGAGAAAAATTCTGGTAGTGAGGCTTGCTATTACTGAATTGAAAAAGAGACTTCTGTGCTGGCCAAAAACCTGGAGGTGCTCAACAGTCCACTGATGACCATGGGAGTTCAGTACTTCTCAGATACAAGGACACTTATTTTGAATTTAAAAAGTATATTAACTCTTTGGACTCTGAATGTAAGTGAAAAGCAAGTACTACTGCATTCTTTATAGCTACTGTTGGCCTAAGAATGAAAATTAAGAACTCCTTAGAGAAAAATCATTAGATATTAAGAATAGAAATAAACACAACATTTTCTTTTGTAATTTTTTTCTACAGACTTGAGGTTTGAAGGATAAATACATACAGTACACACAGGGAGTTGTTCAGTACAGCCAAGGACTGCTCAGATCATGGGCATATGTTGCACTATGTGCCACAATAAATGTATGTGTCTGGAGCAAAAAAACTCGGCCATGATGAAGATAAAAATGCAGTTAGAGATATTACATGAACGAATAGTTTACTAGCAAATAGAAATCAAGATTATTTGGCAAACCCTGGAATTAGAATGCTGAAACTCAGGTGCTAACCTTAAGTACCAACAATTTATTTGTATGCCAGGAATGACTGGCATACAAACACAAATTGATGAGTATTACTGTCAAGTTAAATACAACACAGATAAAGCTGAATTATATGAATAACACCTGGTACTGCATCATATGTGTTGTGTTATCTACAGCACAGCTAAAGGATGTACATGGAAACATTTCAGCATTTTCACTTTATCTAAAAGATGTTTGCACTGTGTTAATGAAGAACACGTACACAGAAACACTGATGTCTAATAGGTCTCAAAACATGCTGTACCTGAAATCTGAAAGATAGGTGGAATTACAGCTGCATTTTTATCTTGATAAATTATTGTTCAAGTGATGTATTTGGGACTGTGGTAACCACATGCCTCAAAAGAGGCTTTATTATTTTATTTGGGATTAGGTTAATAATCCCATAAAACTCCTATTGTGGGGAACAGCACTAAAGTATAGTTCTTCTGAGAAATGTAACCATAACAAGCAGTGAAACACAGAACTGCCCCACTAGTAATTCCAGAAAACTAGCCATGATGACCAGTTAATTTTGTGGTGTACATTGAAACTGCTCCTGCAATCCGAGCACTCAGTGTGTGAACAGATAAATTCTTGTCTGGAAAGGAGAAAGGTAATTAAGCCTCTGTTACAAAAATCTCCTTCCTCTGCTTATAAGGTTTTAAAGAGAGAATATATAAACACATTCTCACAGAAGAAATGGATACTTTCCAAATCTCTCTGTAAGAATTTTTATTCTGACCATTTACAGGGAACCTGTGACAGGTTTTGCCCACCAGGCTTCTCATAAACTCTTTCAGCTTTGCAGAGAAGACACACAAAAATATCCACACCCCTGGCAGCTGCACTGCAAGAACTGACTTAGGACAAAAAAAACACTGAGAAGTGATGAATTTCTCATTCCCACTGAGAACTTTGAAAAACAGTGTTTTTCATGTCCATAAAAATTACTTCCTTTATTTAGAAGAAACACAAAAATTATGCTTCCCAGGCAGACTGAGCACAACTAATGACTGACCTAAAGCCTATGAAATCAGTGATTTCTGTTGACTTCTGAATTGAATCTGACAGGATTCAGGAACTTCACATCTGCTCATGAAGAGTGGGAGAAAAATTATTTCTAGTTGTCTGTCACATTGGACTATCAGAATGTCATGCTCTTGGTATCCCCCATGTCAAAAGAAATGGCATTATTTCTGTCATATTCATAGATGATGAAAATGGTAAATGACTTCCCAATGGGAAAAAAAAAAGTCCTAAAGAGTTTTCTAGGAGAATAATAAGACAATTTAAATGGAAAACAGTATTTTTTGACTTTTTGTTTCAGTTTTAAACAGGGAAACTGGAGTGAGGTCTAGTACCAGCTTTCTAAACTCTTATGCTTCACACTACTGACTTTCTAACTTTAATAATGAAATTAATCTTGAGTTTCTCTGAAGGGAATTATTATTTAACAGAAATATTCTCATCTCAGACTACTTATTGCAGAAACAATTGCTCCATCGAAGGAGCATCTGATTTTCTTGTCTTTGTGAACACAGATTAAAAAAATGGTTTGCCCATTAAATCAATGATCTAAATCTCACTGCTATGACAGACTGATAACCTTGTACACGTTATAAATTTAAATATTTTTTATGTATTTACACTTAAACATTTGACAATAATATTTTGTTGCTTGGACAGACTTGAACACTTAACAATTCTGTACTTTAAAACATATGAGATGAGGCATAACAGCATAGAATATTATGATTATTTTTCCTCCTGTAATGAATCATTACACAATTTAACAATCTGCATATTATCCATAACTTAATTAAAAGCCAAACAGACAACTCCCATTTCCATAAAATTATGCATTTAAATAACACCTGCTGACTTACATATATACAGTTAGACAAACATTTGTATCCACAAACAGCTACTCTGGATCAAATGAGCCCAACTGATCTTTTACACACAATTCCATACCCATAAAGGTACTTGCACTTCAGGTAGTCTATCCCCATTCAGTTACAAATCTTGCATGTAGTAACTAATAAAACAACATCCTTTTATGAGAAAAGGAAATTCCATGTAACTTAAAAAATGCCAAAACATCGAGAAAAAAATTTTCTTACCTTATATGAAATGTACAGTAATGTAATTATTGGTATAGAATATTTAAGCACCTGTGCCTAAGAGAAATTGAAAAAAATATTGGTTATTCTGATGAGACATTTATTTGAATAGATTTAATTTTTAATGTATTGATATGTAAAATACTTAACACGTAGTGGAATTCAGAGTTTGAATTTTAAGACCATATTTTGATTTTGTTTTCAAGTAAAACCGTAATTACAGACCCATCCCAAGTGATGGACTGATATCTATATATTTAAATCTATATTCTACAAAGTGGAAAACACTGTCATTCAATATAATTGACTGCAAAGGTCTTCTCAGACTGCTGAGGATTTCTTAATATGGTGGCTTTTTTAGTAAAATTGTGGTTATTTTTCATAGCCACATCTATATTGCCATCTAGTGTATTCAAACGGAACTGTTTAATACAGAAACCAGTAGAAAATACATTTTACTTACTAAATTTACACAAATGTACATCAGAGATACCCAGCTAAAGAGAACTGCAAACAATATTCAGCTGTGAGCCTTGATTTGGTTTAGCTAAGGACCAAACCCCATTGGATGAAATGCTGTAAGTACCCTCTGGGATGTGTAGAGATGGACACACTTCAGGATAAGTTTCCAAACTTCTGTGCTGCACAGGCCAAAGGATGCAAACACACACATGTGGGATGTCCAAAGGTACTTCATTCTGCAAAAACACAAGGTTTTCACGATCACCTGGAGCTCTGCTAAAGCTGCTTGATGAGGGCAGTTCATGTCCAGAGAAGTTCTGAAGACAATTTTCTTGGACTTTCAGGACTCTGAAATAACTGAGTACAAGACTGACTCGGCACTTTGCTATGTGCTCTTGAGAACATATCTGTTCCCAAACTCCCAAACATTCTTTTTGGCAGAATTCTGGGAAATGCTTCAGTCTACAAGTATAAACACACCAGGGAGAGAAAGAAGGTTCATGATCCTACAAAGTTTGCGGTCAACATATTTTACACTCTTATAAAAATACACTCAGTCATCTAAACAAGCCCCAAGTAGAATTTAAAAATATATACCTCATTGTGCTTAATGCCAGACATCCAAAAAGAACTGTGTGAACCAAGCTGTAAGCAGCATCAGGCTTCAGTGTTATTGTGCACTCTTCCATCTTTTCCATTAACTTGACTTGATTTGAACCACTAATTAAAGAAAGAAACAGTGTTATATTAAGTTCTCGAACATATTTCATATCATTATCTGCATTTTAAACAGCATTGAATCCTTCTGATGCTAGAAAGCAATACTACTGCTATCAGTCCACAATCTTCTATTGTATCTATGATATAATTAAGCCCAATACCACCAACTTGATGTAGCAGCAAGTATTTCTTTTCATGTCTAGATTTTTGGAAATGCAGTGAGTTTAAATGAGCTGGATTAGAGTGAGATAAAACTGTTTACAGAAAGGCAAGCTTGGTTTCTTGCTTGAAGTAGCTACTCCCATGAGGTTCACAGGGCTTAGATGAGAGTGAAGAATTTAACTGTGATTTGTGGGGTTGTGCTGGTATATCTGGATGCCAATAAAGCCACAGATTGGAAGTAGACTTACAGCAAATCAGTTTTGAAAGGACTGGTTGTTGCTTGAGGTGGCTGGTCTTGTGAATGTAAGTGGAGGGCCCATTAAAAGAAAAAAAGTATGCTTAAATGTGTGAGGTCTTCCTCTGTTCTTTTCAGGCAGGGGATAACTGAGATAACTGGACAGTGTTAAAAATTAGGGTGATGTTTGTGATTACATCTAGGATTACAGAAAATAAGAGCAGCAGAGTCTTTTCTTTGTTTTTAAAATTTAAAACTGGTGCAGAAAGTTTTTTAAGAGGCTGGTTGAATAGTACCAAAATGATTTACAGATGATTCACTTCATAACTGTCACAAAATAGTTTCAGAATGTCTTAAGATACTTGCCCTCTCTTTCTGCCACCTCCTCCCTCTCTCTTTTACCCTGTCTTCCCTAAAATCTGTGATGACTGGCACTAGTTACATGACACTCCTTGAATTTTTGCTTAATCAAGTTTTATATCCTCCCTTCTAACTGCAGCCCAGATTGTACCTATAAAACTGAGAGGTCTATAATGAACCATTTACTTTTTTTTGTTTTAATAGCAATTCTGTCTAATTTTCTTCTAGTGTTCTCCAAATACCTCAGAATCCTACAGATCAGCAGTGGGAACAGCCAGCAGTGATGCACAGCTGGGAGTGCTTTGCACCTTTCTCCTGCTTCCCCTCCCAAACCCAACCAACCCCACGCAAACTGCAAAACCTTAAGAGCAATCCAAAGAGCTTGAAGGAAAGTTTACACTTTTAGCTTTAATAGGATGTTACTGTTCTGCCTGATCTCTCTATCAGACATCCTACTGTTTCCTCAGTACCTGTGGAAGTAATACTGATAGCTGCTGTATTCAATTGTCAGTTCCTGAGCCATTTGAAGATGAGAAAATTGATAAAAATGTGAATCATCTTAAAGTTGTACATTACCTGAGGTTCCTAAAGGCAACAATTACAGCTGCCACTGCCATAAGGAAGAGAACAAATACGTAAACGTAAAAAAGTAACGTATCCGAGAGCCTTGAAAAGGTGTTTAATGGTAATAAACCAAAAGCTTCTTCACAGAGATACAGGTTGGCATCAAAATCTCTAAAGAAAAGAGAATAATCCTTGTCAACAGGTATGGTGTAATTTGATGTCAAAAAGGATCAAAGTTTGCTTTTCTCACAAGAAATTAAAAAGCTGCAGTTGTGCAGATTGTTGTAAGGGAAAATATGACACAAACATGAGGTACAAATCCATGATTTATCACACGGATTTCAAATGAGAACAACCTGCAGGTTTCAATTAATGAAGTCAAAGAAAAAAAAGCAGAATTGCAGCTAAATCATACCTTGTTGCTCCAAACCCAAATTTTGCTTTCAGAAATTTGAATATATGTTCATCTGACTCAAGATTAAGAATTTTCTATAGAGTAGGGAAAAAGAAAGGAAATTATATTTTAAGTATCAAAAATGTGACACAGGTAAGCAGGTTTTTTTCACCATTTAAATGAAACTGTAGAGCACCACAGGCTTACTGAGAAGGGTGCTTTGCAATTGAATAAGCTTTCAGTTTTAACTGCATTCACTGAAAAGTAAATTCAATGAAAAACTATGCAAATGCTCAGCAGCATCAGAATGCAATACAAATCTACATTTGTTATAAAATTACAGGTGAGCTTCAAGTTAACACCAATTATTTGGTGTTAATTTATGAGGTTTTCAAATCCATATATCAAAAAGATTAGCAAAACAATCTTTAATTTTTAGAATGCAGTCTCTGAAACGCAGTGAAACCTCACTGCAATTTTTACTTAATGACATCACTATAGATGGTTAACAAATAGCTTTTAACATAATACATTTTGCAACTTTCTACATAAAAAAACATTTGCTTACCTTGATGAATTTATTTATCAGGAGAGTCAAGCACAAGACTAACAGAACATGCAGGATAAGTTTCCCAAGCCTGTTAAGCAAGCCACCCTTTTTTAGGTTTTTCTACAAAGAAGAAAATATTAGAATTTCAGTACTTTTTTTGTATGTATTTGGAACAAAAGCATCACAGGCTATTTGAAACAGCTGGTCTGCTAGGCCTGATCAGGATCTAATTGTATTAGCTTCATGTAAGCAAAAATGTATACAAATATATAAAGATATATTTCTTCCACAAAACCGAAGGGACAACATCACAAAAGTTCCCCAGGCTCTTGACGTGGCAGAGTTTTGGAAGAAGCCAACCAACCTTCCTTTGGCAGTGGCCCTATTATATTTATACAACTAATTTCCTTTTGAAATACCTCTTCATTAGATCTTCCACCTAAACATGGCAAAGGGGTCTTCTGGCTCTAACTGTCAGCTGAAAGGATTTTGAGCAATTTTCCAGTTAAAAGCTCCAGATCCAGATGAGCTGCTCACAGGCAACTGGGAATAGGCACAGACATTGTCTTAACTATAAAAAATACAGTCTTGATTTTAGGTGGTCAGAAATGAGAGACAACAGGAATGGCCCTGTAAGATCACACACTCTGGTCAGAGACTGTTGTCGATGTCAGTATCAGAAAAAAGAGAACTGTAAATGCAGTAAAAACCCGAGTCTTTGAAAGAAAAGAGATTTCAGTAAGCTGAATTCAACATGTGCCCAGTTCTCCCAGAATATTTGTTGGAGGCAGATCCATAAATTCAAGCCAAGTCCTGCTGAAACAGGTGTAAAGTCCATTTATGCAATTTTTTGCAGGATCCAAACTGCTGCTTGCACAATCAGGAATGTTAATAGCAATCACAGAATTATGGTGTCTGATGTGCTTGGTTATGCTGCAGTTACTGTAATTGAAGTCATTATTTGATCAGGCAATGTTTTTGCTGCTTTACACTACATAATTCCTCTAATTAGTATTAGTAATTGAAAGTTATAATGCATAAAAATTACTCATTTACATATATACATATCTATGTATATACAGATACCTATCCACTCTTTATTTAGTACCACAAAAATATTTCAGTACCCACCTGGATTGTTCTTGCTACCAAGACAGAAGCATTAAAACTTATAAGTAGTGATCCAAGAATCATAGAATTAAAGAACTGTAGGACACAGACGAGCAGTAATCCAGAAATCTGAATGATATAGAGCCACGTAACCTGGAACAATAATGAGATTTTTATGTCTACAAAACCTAAGTCATGGTTGTTCTTCTATGAATATGTTTTATAATTTATTTCAACGCCTATTATTTTTGCAAAAAATGCATCATATTGCACTAAATCATCCCATTTAAAGCCATTACTACATCCTCTTTATATTTATGTCCTGAACTAGTGAGGTTAATATTTTACGCCCATGTTGTAACTAAGGAAGCCTGATCCTATAATCAAGCAGATACAAATAAGTAATTGCAGAATGAGGAAATCATTAATCACTTAATATACTTTGGAAGATGCTTTGTAGTTTCTCTAGTCAAAGAAGTGTTTCTGTAGCCTCTGATGTCTCTCTAACTCAATAGTTATGGCTCAGTGAAGTTCAGTAACCAAACATCACCTTTTTTAATAACAGATCAGTATAGTCCTGTTTGAGCTATGCTAAACTGTTGTTCAGCTGAATGCAAACACTAAACTGTTGGTTTTCTGACACAGGGGTACCAAAACACACATTTTACCTGACACAAAGATCAGTCTTGCACTAGAGCAGTGGTGTAAATCGGCGTCAAAGAGCCCAACAAACTCCAACAGTTTTAAGTAGCACTTTTTTTAAAACTCATATGGAATAAGAGTGGTGTGGTAAGTCAGTTTTGGTAGAATTCAAGATGAAGCTGGTAATTTGCCAATTTTTAATGTAACTGATTTGTCACATTAACTGTTAACTTCAGCTTACGTTTGCAGAGAAGAGTTTATTAATTTTTACACTCGCAGTATAAAAGCACAATGCACAGTGTATAATCTGTATTACTCTGGGTATCCAGGCCACTAGTTAGTAAAATACCTCCAAAACTTAGTTTTATGACAGTAAATAAAGAAAAATTGGTTATTTCCAAACATAAAGTTACCTTTGCTGTGGGCAGCATGTCCAAGCAGTCCAGTATGAATAATGCCAGTGCTTGTATCAGCATCATGAACTGGTTAAATTGCCAAGTCAGGCTAAAGAGAAACGTTGCTATGAATACAGCCATAAGTGTTAGTCTCTGGAAGGAGGGAGTGAGGTTTTATTTAATTTTATAGTTTCCTTCACTAAAACACAAAACAAACAAAAACCCCAGCAAAACCGACCAAAACCCACCTTGATTTGGTTTTATTTCAAATCTACTTTTAAAACATTACTATGAGTTTTATAACTGCAATAACTGTTTGGAGGATAATGAACATTTATTAAGAGTTATGAATTCTTGATTTATGCCTGTGTTTTATCCCCGTAACACCACTTGCAAGAAAACAGTGAGATCTCAACCAGTTTCAGCCCCTAGATTAACATGCAAAACGTGTTTTACTGTGCTATAAATAGCAGTTACTTGATCAAATCGAGGAGTAATGACTTAACAACTGTTTGTCAAAGAAACTGCATCACCCATTTGCTTTTATTCTTGCAGATCAGGACAGTTTTCTGTGACTAATTTTACTGTGTCATACTTGTCAGAAATACTCACTTCTTGAACAGGCTGTAAATGAGTTCTGAGTAGGTATGTGATGGCTGCTATCTGAACAGCAAAGAACGGTAGTGCCCAGTTCTCTCTTAGAGGAATGGTGAATTCTACCCTTGTGGTATCTACTCTGTACAAAACAAAGAGTTTCAGAAATTTAAAATAAAGAAAACAACAGCTCAGTGATAGAGAAGTTGCAATGACAGGCATCTTTGTGGTATTTAAACTACTTATTTATAAAAAGGCAGGCTCTACAGTCTAGTTCCTTCAACATGCCTGGCTCTGAAAAAAATCATTATGAAGGTTCTGTCAGTTATCCATTGTTTCTGTATCTCAAATATTGTACTTTAGTATCACTTACAGTCAAAAAAATATACTATGAATTAAAACTTACTTAAGAAGAACAGCTTGGGTAAATTTAAAAATGGAAAAACAAACCCCAAACTAAAAACACTCCCAAAATCCAGCTCGTGGATTTTCACACCACAGGTAATTTTACTTAATTTTTTGGTTTGCAAACACACATACAATAATACAAACAGGTATCAGTTTCTTCACTGTGGTCCCAATGCAGTGAATTTGAATACAGCTAAACTGGTTAAGAGATTCTGGTCATTTTTGGTAACTTTTGAACACAAACAGGATGTGAAGTTAGTAAAAGTTCCCCAAAGAGCAGTTATTTACAAAACCTGAATTAAAGGTTAAAAAAAACTTAATTCCCTTTTTTTCTTGTGTTGAGAAAATGTTTGCTAAAAAGGAAAGTAAGCAAGACATCTGAGACATGTTTAGCTGGATGAAAGAAGTGTTTAAATGGAGTTACTCAGTAGCCTCAGATGTGCTTTATCTGGACAGAAAGTCTTTATCCAAATCAATTCCATGTATTTATTCTACTTGTGTAAAGGATAACAAGCTTTCCTTGTTCATGGATTATTAGAAAGATGGATAAAACAAATTTGCTCCAAATATTCTGTGAATGGCAAAGATGACCTCATCAAAGAAACATGTGAAATACTGTACACTGAATTTCTTTTTTAATTACTTTTATATTTGGAGAAAGAAACATTTTGCCACTGTACACCTACAATTATTCTGTAATGGACATGCTTGCAGATAAACTTCTTCAGAGCTACTGATTAACATATCAAACAATTTTGATAGAACCAACACTGTACTTTTATTTTCTTGATTAATTTACAGATAACAGCCCATGTCACCAGTCTTAGCTTCGTGCCAGCAGCTTATTTCTGGCATAAAGCCAGTTCTTAAGTTTTTATCTCCAAAGAATTCTTCAAGGGATAAAGCACTAGAACAGCTCAAGTACCATCTTTTTTTTTTCTGTGAGGTTTATTGAAGGAGATGTTTACAGGAATAAGGGAAGAGAGGAGCTGAACTTCTGATGAGCTGAGGCTGCTGAAGGAATCCCTGGAGGGTTGGGTGTGGGGCAATACCTGCAGATGTGTGTAACACCTAAGAGCTCCTAGGCTGGAGAAGACAGGGCACATCATCTGGAGGTCCAGACACATCTGAAAGATGCAGTCCACTTTCAGAGACCAATTTAAGCCAAAATTTTCTATTCAAACTTCATGAAAGTTTAAAAACCCAGCCTGCAATTGTCAGCTCATTTCTGATTATTTTCTAATAAACATTTTTTTTCCATTTTCTGGCTTATCAGAGAGAGGCCTTATAGTTTCATTTTTTTTTCCAATTAATCATGCAGTTAAAGCTTTAATGCCTTACCTTTGAAATGAGGTACAATTTTAGAAAGAGTGAATGTTTAATCTCACTTACCTGTTTGTAATATACCAGCAAGCTGCCAACAACCCTGAAAGCCATGTTCCACTAAGAAGCCAGCTTGTTACATACAGAGCAATGACATAAACTGCCTGAAGTCCAAACAAAGTGTAGATATAAAAATAAACAGGCTCTAGGTATTGCTGTAAAACACAAGAATACTGATGTTGACATTAAACCACTCATGGGGGGCGGGAATTATACTTAGAATGAATTAGGTTTTGCTTTTACAAATTAAAAAGGTATCAGGAATGTTTCTAATTGGAAAATAACTACAAAGGGGAGCTATGATTCACTGTGAAATCTTCATAATGCACTTACAATCTAAAGCCATAAATAAATGCCTACCTGAATTGGAAGAATCCTATACAGAATGCTGAGAAACACCTCCTGGTAAACATTCATTCTTTCAAGTATGTTAATTGTCCTCACAGATTCAGTTTTATTGTCATATACTAAACCATGTAAACCTTAATGATAAAGAGAAATTGAAATAGGAGATTGTCATTTTCCTCCTCCATCTTCATTTGAACAGTGAATAACTTTTTCAAAGGTATTTTAGGATCTCTCATCAGAAACTGCAAACTTTGAGTCAATGATTCAGAACACATCACCTCTGAATCAACACGACCTTCTGAGGTCTTCAGCTTCCCCACTTCAAATGTGACTCACAGTGCTAATTCAAGTACTATATATTTAGTGGTGTATAACACATTTATTTTTATACTTCCATCCCTAGCATAGAATGTGTGGTACTGGATCTTGAGAACTTTCTTGTTCCTACTTTGAGCACAAGTGAAGTTAATATTGACAAACGTGTAGTATAACCAAAATTGCTAGGGAGCAACAGTTAACTATCTAAAAAACATGAGACTGTCCCAGAAAGGCCCATCACTGTATGATTTCCTTGGAAGCTGTTCATTGTGTCACTTACTGTCCAGGCATACAAGCAAAAAACCATTGTCCCTTCCCACAAATAGCTAATAGTTCAAATTAAACAAGAGAAGAATAAAAATGAAGGTAGTACACCACATAAACCAGCAAGGCTGAAACCTCAACAGGTATGAAAACTGTCCCTCAAACTGACTGCCTCCATCAGGATGTGAAGGTGTGGCACAGAAACCAAGGTATCATTGTTAAATTTATTATGTCCATAGCTTGGTGGCTCCCTGGCATATGAACAGTACAATTGTTACACTATCTCACAGTTTTATAGTATTCCTTGTTCTTGGTTGTATTTGAAAAAAACCCAAACCTAGAACAGTCAGCTGGCAACACCAAGCAAAACTTACTTTACAGTTTACAATACCTTGCTGTATGGAAGCAGCCTGAATCATCTGTTTGTAGTAGGAATAATAAAGTCCACATTCAGTCCTGAATGAAATTTCTCTTTCCACTTCCTGCAAGTGAAAGTTCAACAGTAAATTCACTTTCCATTTGCTTTTCACAGTCATATGAAGCTGCCTTCAACTCAAGTTCTTGCTGCACCAGGGAAATTCACCTACACAGAGGTTTTGGGTTTGGGCATTCCGTGCAACTTACTTCAACTAAAGGTAAAATACATGGAAAATTAGGGTGAGAGGCAAAGGACTGAGGTGTAAATGACTCTGTTAACTGGGGAACTATATATGGCTTTTGTGATTCTGATATGCTGCTTGGAAAGATTCTGGATATCTTAATTTTTTTGTAATATTAAATGTTTAGATAGGTGCAGTGGCCAACAGCTGGACTTCAAAGCTGCATATGCTTGCTCAGTGCATTTAACCTTTTGTTCCAGATGTAGTTATCCCATAGCATTCCATGGCTTTGCCAGCTTAAGGCTCAATTAATCCAGTGTGCTATAGTGGGGCTGCACCAAAATGCCAAGGATATTTCAGCTGGCAGAGGATGCTGCTGCCCACTTGCTCAGTGCTGGTTCTTGCAGGAAGCCAGCTGTCATCACTCTCATTCTTAAATTACAGGGTAAAGGAAAAGGGACTCTTGATTTGGCTTTAGGTCTAGGTGAATTCGTTATTTTTAATTTCAAATTGTTCAAATCATCTAAACCAGGTACACTTCAAACTATGGCTCTTTCTTGGCTGATATGGCAGCAGATGGAGTCCAGTGAGATCTGAAAGCTCTTTATTTTGGAATTCACTTCCTTTTGTCAACTCATTAGTTGTGAAGACCCAGTGAAACTCAGCAAATCCACAGCCTTGGGCAACCACATTTAAACAAAGTAAGACTGCATGAACAACCAATCTGAAGAGAACTAATAGGCATCTTGTACAAAAGGGTTCTATTATTAGTGATCTTTTTAGTAGTTTATATAAAAACATCCCAGCAAACATATAAGCAGGTTAGAAAGCATTTATATCCAGTTAGAAAAAGCTTATATTGAGATTTGAAAATCCAATTAAATTTCTCTATGTGGTGTATGCAAGTCATTAAGAAATTTATGTGAGATTTCTAAAAATAATCTTATTAATTCATTCTTTACAAAAGGACATTTCTGAAGTAACAAAAAGTTACTGTTTTCAGAGACTTTTATGAATGCCACTCTGGTTAATGCAACCTTGCACAGAACCCCAAGACTTTCATCTTTCTTATACAGTCCCATCTCTTTTGCTGGAACACAATCAATACTATTTCAGAGCTAATATAAAGCTGGATAAAAAATCATGTTCCTCTCTTCTTTACTGCCTAGTATAGAATCTTATCTCAAAACACGTGTTTTATTGAAGTCAACTGTTGACAAACCAGTATTAGTTCTGGTCTGAGAAAAGTCAACAGATAAAACCACAACTGATTCAATTTAAGTTCACAATTAAACTCTCCAGCTGCCCTAGGACACACAAGTCATCAGCATACCAGCAGAAGGAACTGACATTGGCACCAAATAACCAAAAGCCACACACTCAGAAAGATGAGAATGTTGGATTTTGAACAAGTTCTAAAGTCATCACTACTAAAAGGTTTTCTAATAGCAAAAAGTGGCTGACTCTAAGTGTCCATACAAAAAAAAGAAAAAAAAGAGGAATGTTAACATTTGGAATTTATTAAGGGGGAGAGAGGAGTCACAGAGGGGGATCTAATTAGCAAAAATGCATTCAAACATGATTAATTTGTAATCCTGACACCAGCTGTATTCAACCAAATGCTATACTTTATGAGACAAACACTAGTGAGTTTTACATCTGTTTCATGCTAAGATAACATCTGTTTGATTCATCCACAATACTTTTCCAGTTCTACAGCAATTTATACTTTTCCTTGCATTCCACGTCAATAAAATACAGACTTATGGGTAAGCACTGGAAGAGCAAACTTATCTTTCTGTATATTCACTTAGTGAGGTTTTAACAAAGAAGTTATCACTCTTCCAAGGAAAAAAAAAAGACTACTGTCCTCCAGAATACACACGGAGTTACATATTATTCCAATTTATGCAATTGTATCTTTATAATATTAAACACAGTAAAATACAAAGGACTTTCTTTCATGGGCAGCGCAGAATTCTACAGCTTAGCTTAAAGAAGTCATTCAGAATGCTGAGCAAGCAGCCAAAGTCTGACTTGAGTATAAATAATAAATAAAGAGCATAAATAAGGCTCAAATTGCTTTTCTTTTTTGGCATAGCTAAAGCAAAATTTTTGTAATGGAAACTGTTTTTTAGTCTGTATAGGTGGGAAGTCAACCTAGACAGCTGCTGTCAGTGTTCCCAGTTGAGAACACGCCTTCAGCAAAGGTATTTAATCCTTGGACATGGTCTCCTGGCTGGTTAAGCCCCAGCCCATCTGCTAGGATGTCATGTTCCTCCTCAGATCAGACTTATGATCCAGAGTAAAAGTACCCATAACAACTCAACAGGTACTTCTGTGGAAAAGTACCTCCACAGTTCTGGGCTGCCCTTCTCCTTACACATTCACTTTGTACAGTTCTAATTAGTTGGCCTCCTGTTTCCCCACCTTTTTTTCACAGAATCATGGAATGGTCTGGGTTGGAAGCAACCTTAAAGCTCATCTCTTTCCACCCCCTGCCATAGGCAGGGACACCTTCCACTATCCCAGGTTGCTCCAAGCCCATTCCAACCTGGCCTTGGACACTTCCAGGGATGGGGCAGCCTCAGTTTCTCTGGGCACCCATCTTTGTTTTGCATTCAAAGTGTAAAAATATAAGCACTTCAGAGACTAAATCCCAAGACTCTCATCCTGCATGTCTGAAAGATTTAAAATTTTGTATTTTTACATCTGACTTCTTGGAAGCAGCCATTTTATTAAAGGGAAATTCAATAATAGTAGTTTAAATGCTTACTCAGCAGGGATGAAGAACAAATGAATGCTCTGAAGTTTATCTGTTTGTTCTAGAGTATTAATTTGCTCATTCCTGTTCAAAGTTTCTTCAGGATTTGTGTTTGAACAAGCAATGCAACAGCTGATGGGAGAGGTGGCCCCCCATTTTGTTATTCTCATAGCAGATTCTGCACCAAAAAATATTAAACTGGAGGAACAGTCACCAAACTGCTATTGAAAATCACTGAAAATAGACAAGCCACTTTAGATATGTGATGCCAGAACATTTTAAGAAAACTGAGAAGATTTTTGGATAAGAAATCTGTTTTGACTTCCACCATCAAAACAGAAATCTTTGTTGGTTTAACATTTCCAAGAATGGATTCAAACTTTTTTCTTCAAAATTGTTTGGTCAAGATAAGTGATTATAACCTGTGATATTCATCATATATATAAGTGATTATTTCCTGCTGATAGGGGACAGAAACACAGCTTCTGACTGTGTGACATGGTATGCTGCATTGTCTTCTGGTTTTTTTTCTTTTTGTCATTCTTTCAGGAAGGCTTGAAATAAGGCAAAAAAAAGCAGCAATGGTGTATCTCCTTCATAGCATAAACCACTCCTCAAGATGTGCATTTTCAGTTTTTCAGGTAAGAAAACAATTTTACATCTTTCTCCAATGACCATGGCAAGTTGATAATAGCAGTGTATTTATTAGCAAATAAGAACAGGACTCTCACACAGTGCAGCAGCTGAAATCAAGGCACTGTTGAAAGCCATATTCAAAACAGAGCAAAACATTCAAAACAGAGCAAAACAGTTTAACCACTACCAAACAGTTTTTCTGGTTGGGTGAAGACACCCAAAACTGAACGGGCTTTGGATGAATTGCTACTGAAATTAGAGAAAGGTAATCACTGCAAGTGTGTCTGCAAGTTCTGACTTTAATGACTTAGGAGTTAAGAATCATGACTTTACATAGTGAACTCTTTTTACTTCCAGTTTTTAGGGTTGAGTACAATTGGCAAACTATATGATTTTGTAAGTATGCAACTGTGGTGTTCATGTATTAATAGGGTCTTCAGAACAAAAATTCCACCTTTTGTACCTAAATAGTGCATGTAAAAACATCTGCCTAGTGCAAAACTGCCAGATAAACATTGCAGACCTTCTTCTACTGCTGTACAAAGAGAGGAGTAAAAGAAAAGATGGCAAAACGAGTCTCCTGCTACATCTCACTGTGTTAATTTAGTCGCCACACAGACCCTTTTGGGTATGAATTCTTATTATCTGACTAATTGTAGCTTATTGAAAGGAATACAGTTCATGGGCATAATATATTGTTACATAGGTTTTGTATCAGCATTCAGTAACATAAATCCCCAAATTTGCACTGTTTATAGCCAACTCAGTGGGACTGAAGTTACTAGTTTAAAATGCATGCAAAAAGGAACTGATTTAGAATTTATTTTCTTTTCCATGTTTCAGAGCAGTGGTGATGCACTGCCATGTTTCATAGGCAGGGGGGTTAATGAAACACTGAATGTGCATCAGTATTGCATCCATTTATTCCGTATGTGATGTTTAATCAAAACGTAATGAAACAAAATCACCTCTGCATTTCACTAAGCAAGGCATGCAATAACTGTGGGCCAAGGATTAGACTACAGTCCTCCCTTCTGAGAATTTGGGCTGGGGTGTGAACTTAAACTTTTCTTTCCAAGCTTTCAGAAAGTTCAGTTAATACATGCAAAAAGATATCTTTTGACCAAACAGTAAAATGTCAGAGAAAAAAAGCAAATTTTCCATTTATTTTCCATGTAATTTTTGAGGGTCTCAGATTGTTCCACAGTATAGTTTATTCATGTCATTATTAGTATATACTATGTGCTGTAATTACAAGATTAGCCAATTCAGAAGTGCTGGGAAAAGATACAAACTCCTAGAGAGATTACACTGTCCACTCACACTCACAGGTACAGAAATGTCTATACACTATTTTACAGATGCTGGGATGAGCCTTCCTATCCCAGCTTTGCAGGGAATTTTACAGACTCCTCATATGAAGTCTTCTTGTCCCATACTACTCATAAACCAATACTAGGTTTAAAATTAGCACTGTAGCCATGTGCATTCTCTGGTGGAGAAAGGACACTGTGAGACCAGAGAGTATCTGCATCTCTTTCTTCTTTAACCTGCTGGGAGATGAACTTAATGCTTTTATAATCTTTCCATCAAATTGGCTGAAACTGCTCATGTTCCAATGTTACTTGTTATCAATCAACTCCATGGGATGAAATGAGAGCTACAGAGACAGAATCCAGATTAAAAATAATTAGAGGGTGTTACTTCAGTTTTGATATCTAATGGCTAGAATTCTAGTGTACTTAAAATGAAAACAATTAATTATCAAATGAAATTAGTGGGGACAACTTAATTACAACTACAGAATTGCTTATCTCAGTGACGTTTGTGCTCCTTGGATTAGTTTCACAGAATAAAAACACTGTATCTGTTACATCCACACATTGCCACAAATCCATGTCTGTTTGTACTTCAAAATGTATATAACACCTTGAAATTATTCAATAACTGCTTTTGGAAGCAAAAGGAAAACCTAAGGTGTACCTTCAATATATTGTATACCATCTATCTATATATTCAAAGAAAGATGAAGGTGGTTTACAAAATGTATTATATGTTTAATACAACAGCAGTTGTTTAAGTAAGTGCAAATTATTTTTTTAAGGGGAATATAAATGTTTCGGGGACAGAAAAATTGTGTAGTATAGGAAAGACATATTGCAATGCAATTATTTCAGTTAAATAGGTGTACTCTTTGAATAACATAATACACAGACCTGGCGGAGTGAATTTTAGGCATCTGAAAGGAAAATGACTCACCTGTTCTTTTCTCTGGTTAAATTTAGCTATTGGTACAGCAGCATTATTTTCTGTGCAATGATTATAGGAAAAAAAACTAGTCAGTCCTAGATCTTGGGAATGTTTGGTTTGACATTGGTGAATGGCTGAAATTATGTTTTGAGGCTTGCACATTTAGGATAACATTATATAAAATTTGTATTGGCTAGTAAAAGACTGTCCCTAAACTTTATTACAATATCACAGTATAAATGCGATTAAAGATCGATCTGCCAGGATTTTGCAGATTGTTTATTTCAACTGTTTTTATGTTTGTTTTTTTTTTTTAATTTTGGACTGCTTTGGATAAAAGAAAGATGACTGCAGAGAAACATAGAGCTGAATGCTGAAATTCTATTCTAGATAGAGATCGGTGGTTGGAAGAACTGTAGCTACAATTCAGACAGGAGCTGTGTAGCAATATTTTTAGAGAAAAATTGGGGACAGGTATTTATAGAACTGATGAAGTATTGAAAAAATGGTGGGAAGGAGAGAACAGCTTTTTTTTAAATTGAATTTTTCAAAATGAAATATTCTACCTTTTTGAGCAAGTTACAAGATAAATATATAAAGAAATGAAATTTCAATTAACGCTCATATTAATGGTGTTACCTTAATATTGGAAAACCACAGGTCATTTTCATGCAGGGTAGCAACATAAACAGAAGTAAGAAGTCCAAGAGACATGGCAACAATTCCACCAACAGTTACTGAGAGTATGTTCCATAGCTTTCCACCTGTATGATCTTGGAAGAAAAATAACTCAGTCTGTAACTGTGAAACACATAAATGAACCTAAAGGAATCTTGGAAAGTCATTTATACATCGCCTATCCTAGTACAGTTTACATTCTGCAGGTAACAGGACATTTGGTTTTAACACATCTTTATGGAGATGCATTATTTACTTTCTCATATAGCAAACTCAGAGGATTTTATTTACGTGCAAAGTGAAATAAAAGGTGCCTTAATTGGTAAAATGTAGTTACAATTTAGGAACACCGTGATCCTATACAAGTTTAGATCAGTGCCATACCAAATTTGTAATTCTAAATTGAAATATCCTCCAGGAGAACATTTTTAATTCAAGCAATGCAGGATGACACTTGGAACACAAAGTGAGAAATTAACATCTCCTTCACGTGTCATAAAATGGCTCCCTGTTTTTTGGGGGTTTGCTTGTTTTTTTGTAGAAAACAGCACTGAAGGTTCAGAAGTCTCACTAAATACCCACAAAGAGACTGAACAGCAGCCAAAGCAGCCTTTGATAATGGTGTCCTGCTTTGAATTGCAGATGGCCTCCTGCTGACACTGGAATAAGATTAGGGATGGAATCATAGGAAAGAAAGGTTGTGTTTCTAGGTAGCTCAAGCCATTTACTGTACACTTACATTCCTAGGTTTTAGTTTGTTGAGGTTTTCTTTTTTTTTTTTTTTTTTTTTTAAGTTCATGTAAGGTTTGATAAGGATTTAGTGACCTGGAATTTTATCTTTGAAATGGCTATTTCATACTCTGTGTGACATCTCCATAACAAGGTCCAGCTCTGCAATTCCAAGGAACCGAGGGCTGGGCTGGATGAGAACTACGATCACTCTCCCTTTGTGTATTTACCCCAAGTGTGTTTGTGTGGAAACAAACATGTAACTTTCCTTTCCTCTGCCCAAACTGCATATATAGAAACATCCCTTAAAGTAACTTAAACAAACAAACAAAAAAGCAACAAACTTTGTCAGCTCTAAAGCTGTAATTCCATACAAAAATATTGCCAGAATTTGTTTACTTAAACAGACCCTGGAATTCAGACACTTAACGTCTGCCTTTTAAATCTACCTACCTAGTGTCCTATAAATTAAAAAGCAAAAGTTTGCAGGTAAGTTCAGATTTTATGTGCAATCTGCTTGTACTTAAGCACATCTCATCAGTTGTCTTCAAATCTTTTGAGGTTACCAATGATTTGAACTGGGATTCTTTTAAGAAGCTACGATGACACATAAAGTCTGAATTTGTTCTCACCAATTTACATCAGGATTTTAAAAGAGATGACACTGACAGCAATCTGCACATCTCTGTCTAATCCAATTGATTTTGGTGATATTTAAGTATGACAATGCATTGGGTACATACCTAGTTCTAACCTGTGCCTAGGATAGGCATCAAAAGCTAAACATTACTAAACACTCATAAAGTTACAATCCTTTTCATTACCCACCAGATGGAATTTTCCCATCAGGCTTCACATTTGTCTCCTCTGAAGGCTGATCTTCCGCTGCTTCTGTGCCTTTTCCAACCCTCCTCTGTCTTATGGTTGTCATGATGTCAGTCACTTTAATTCATTATTCTTCAGCCTGACTCCTAAATGGACACATACAAGCAATGCATCTTCCTACCCAAACATTCACTTAACAGTGTATGAAATATGTGAAAACAGAACCACATCTTACTGACATTACAGACTCTGACTTAGGGAATTCTACTGTATTGAAGTATATCTTACAAAAATGCAAGTATTTTTTTTGTAGTCTGTACAACTCAGAGAGCAAATGAAAGTAATGCAAAGGTTTGTAATGACCTAAGGTTCAAAATTTTACACACTCTTGAACAGGCTTTTGGAATGATTATTATTTTGACTGCCCTCACTTTTAGCCCTTTACTCAAAACACACTCAAGGTTCCCCTTTTTTAAAAAACTGTAGGCCTTTCAAAGAAAAATTAGTTCTTTCTGGGTATTTTAGTTGCGTGTTTAAAATAGGAATCCCGTTTTTTAAATCCTGGCTTTCAGGAAATCCCAAAAAAGGGGGGCCATAGGATACCAGGGGAACACGTGTTATAAAAAAACAGGAGACAGCACTAAAAAAAAATACTTGATGTTTCATGCTGCTAAAGCACCACAGAATTTTTGAACATTACAAGAAAGACAGAAAGCGCAGGCAGTCATTCCCCTGTCAACTCCCAGGTGCTCTCAGCAACCCAGGGATGCTCCATACATCGGACTGCTCCATCCTGCCACTCAACACTTGGAAATCAGCGACATCCCACCCTGCAAAAACCCGCTCCATCCCCAGCCAGCGGCAGCTGGTGTTTGTGTCACCGCTGGGGTAACTGCGCTGGTAACCACGGAACTTCGTTCAAAGCTTTAGCAGCGGATTAGCTTCGGAAAACACCTGGGAAAACACGGCGGGAGGGGGACGGGGGGGGGGAACTATGCGAGCGTGTATCTAAGCTGGCTTGAAACAGCTGTTTCGTAGAACACCCGACAATTAATTATAAAATAAAGGCGAGATGCTCATCCCCACCCCTCCTCGGCCGGGTCTCCCCACGCTCCGCCCCAGCCCAGGTGAGCCGTGCCCGGGGGACCGGAGCGGGGCCGGGCCCGGCCGCTCCCCGCGGCCTCCGCGGCCCAGGGCGGCTCCTCCCGCCGCCTCCCCCGAACCCCGCGCCGGTACCTGCGGGGGCTCCGCGGCCGCTGCTCCCGCTCCCGCCGGCGCTGCTGCTGCGGGACCGCCCGGGCCCCGCGGCGGGCAGGGAAGGGGAAGGGAAAGGGAAGGGAAAGGGCGGGCGCGGCGCCGAGCGCTCGGCCCTGCCGGGCGGGGCGGCCGCGGGGCGGGCACAGCCCCGTCACAGGGCTGGCCCTGCCCGCCCCGACACGGGTTCCAGCGCTGGTTTGAATTCCCGAGGCGGGATGGCGGCGGAAATCCGGCCGGGAACGGGGCGGTGGGAGCCGGGAGCGGGATGCGCTCCCCGCCGAGGGTCGTGATGTCTCACCCCGCGGGGAGAGCCTGTGCTAAAATAGGGCCCTAGAATTTGTTTGTCGGATTTTAATTTTATTTTTTTTCTCCCCCCGCTTTCCCTACATGTATATAGTGTCACGTGCACTTGATTTTCAAATTGAAATTAGAATCTTAAAGAGGCGCGCCTGGTATTTCACTCGTTATACGCTCTATTGTGTGTCTTGATTAATTGCACCATAAACATTTAAGGGGGGGGGAGACCTTTTGTAGTAGGAAGGTAATGGCAGCACAAACATTCGTTCTATTTAACTAGTACAACCTACCCATGCAATATATTTTTCCTGTAAATGTTACTTGTAGTGTCTTCAAAAAACATTCCCCATTAACTCATAACCAGATCCTATCACAGAAAGCTGATTTCCCAATAATCCATGCAAATTCTGAGCATCAGACAGGGATAGAGCTCACTTCTTCAGGACAGTATTTAGTTGATTTTCCATCACCATTTTACAGTACTGCAATACTGAGTTGTGTTGGTTTTTTTTTTTTTCTTTTGCATTCCACAACCTTGGTTGAGTGAAAAAGTCCTTGAGCAAAAAGAGGCATGAAACTCATAGGAAGCATGCTCAGAGAGACCAAGAAAACTGTAAGTAGTAATCGTCCTGGTAATTCAGAGCTTTTTTTCAGTGTTTTTCAGTATTTGCTTTGCACATTAGAACATAAAACATTACAATGTTTTATAAAACAAACAATGATTTTCTTACTTCCTCTGATAAAGCTCTCAAAATAGTTAAAAATTCTACTATAAATCAATTTACAGCAAACAGACCAGCCATACTTGGTTTTTATTTATTCATTTAGAACAAATGAAGGCAGGTGGTACATTTGTGGGAAATACTTAACTTGGAATGTGAGAACTAAAGAACTATGAGCTTCACCATGGGCATAAGATTTACCTTCCTTTTATCACTAATAGCATCACTGCCACATCGTACATGTCAGGTGTTTGTTAAAATGAACATATTTTATAGAGACAAGCAATTTTACAGTGTAAAAAAAGAAAAAACACCTTGAATGTCTGTAGGGTTTTGTGTAAAGGAGGTCAGATAATGTACTTAAATTTCTAAGAAAGGGAATGCTGTGGAAGATATTTCCTTGAATGGAAATTCTCCTTATCCACTACTTGTAAAGAGGCCAATGAAAAGTAAATTCTACATGGAACAAAAAGTTGCAGAGTTGGTTAGAAAACATAATCAGTGAAGAGCTTTAGAAATCCCTGAGAAGGGGGGAGTTGTCTTAATTCTATGGTATTTTGTGACACTGTGCGTGGATGTAATGATTTTTATGTGATAAGTTACTATGGTCAGCTGGAGAAGTTTTCCATTTTGTGCAAATGATTGCACAGGACCAGCAGTACAAATCCCACTGATGTTCCTGAACTAATAACAGAATCTACACTGCAAAATAGTGTTATTAGAGCTGAAAAGTTTGTGTTATAGAAAAGCATTGGACAGCCTTACATAGTTGTTAATGTATCAAAGAGTAAATGTTACTTTTAAGTCATTTTAGAGTAACTAATCAGCTATCACCTTCCTTTTGAAATACTAACACTTATTGTTCAAGTTTCAAAGAGCAGAAGATTAGATAGTTGGGAAAATAAAAAATGCATTTTTCCTCAATTCTGTATATTTTAACAAGTCATTTCCTGTTGCAATAAGTGTTTGAGTGCAGCACTAGAAAAAAATGGAGTTATTTATATTCTCACTGAAACAATGTATTGGGCAACATGTTCTTGATAGAAATTGAATGTTTCAAGTTGTGAAGAGAGAAGAGAGTTCAAGGAGAACTCAAGAGCTTCCAGACTGATATTAGTATCTGACAACTGTATTATAAAATGTAAATTAAAATTCACCAAACTGCAGCAAGCAACCAGTAATACTGATTATTATTATATCATTACAGTATTTTTATAATACTGTTGTAATGCTGGCTTTTTACTTGCCAGAACAGCAAAAGGATATTTAACAATATTCTGTTTGCTCATTCTGTTCCAATTAGATCAAAGTGGCAAAGTCTTCATGTTAGTACCTGGTTCCCCATAATCTCAGCAAATGACATCTACAAACCATAGCGTACAGGGAATGAATGAAACTTTAAATTCAATTTCTTTATACTATTTACATTTGTTTTCTCTTGGCTTGTCACATTCAGTACTGTAGAAAGAGCTACTGTGAAACACAAGACTCAAATTCTGCCCAAGTAAAATTTTGAGTCTAAACCTGCAATGTTTTTAGTTGCTGTTCAGCAGCCACGTGGTGTGTAGCAAACACACCAAATTTCTAGGTTCTCTCTTTTTTTTCCAACTTTTACAGTTTGTCAGGGTCCTGAAGTTTTGCTTTTGGGTAAAAGAATCTTAGTTTTACCTATTCTGAATTTTGTTACCAAGCTACTATTAGGTCAGGTCAGTTCTCATGGTGGTTCACTTCCTGAGTGACTCGGTGTGACAGCTCTTTTCCAAATATGCCTAGAAGGGGCTGCAAAAAAACCCTCAGTAATGTGGTGCATTAACTTTTCTGCAGCAATGCCAACCATAAATAGTTGCCAAAGACATAGGACAGAGTCATTCAGATCCCACTGGTGTGTGGCAGGGCTCTTGCCCATTTTCTCCAAGTTCCCAGCTGTGTCACAATCATCAAAGGTTCGGTCAGTGCTGCTCTATCCCAACAACCTGGGTCCAGTCCAATTTGTGATCATACTCAACTAGGTTATTTATGGGAGGGGAGAAACTTCTGATGGGGCTCTTTTGTTTTATTAAGCTGAAGTGAGGATGGTATTTTAGCCCAGACACCTTTTTTCCCCAGGTTTTGCATTAGAGAAAATGTGACAAAGCTGCATGACACAGCATCTGTAGCATTGCATCTAAACCCATTTTTAGTTTTCCACCTTTTATTTCAACATATTTGGTCCAGGGCCATAATAATAGCAAAAATAAAATGACAATAAGAAGAAAAGTTTGCCTGTTTATGTAAATATAAACCATGCTGATACCAGCAATAGGTACTCTGGCCATACTCTCTCTTTTCTCTCCAGAAATTGTAACTGAATTAGACTTTTCTTGTCCCTCTGAAAAAAATGGGAAGAAATGTTCCAGCAAGGCCAAGAAATATGCTGTATATTTAAAATTAGGTTGCAATATATGTTTTGGCTGATGTGATGGATAAGCAAAGATCAATCATTTACCTGAAAAAAGCTGTGCAAGGCTTTCACTCTATTTAAATTAGGGAAAAAACTCCCACTAGCTTCAGTGTGAATTCTGAAATTCCAGTTCTGTCCTTCAGCATCGTCCCATCCTCACTGCATGCAGACTTACAAGTATTTTGACTTTAACAGTCTCATATTTCATCACCACAGTTACTTTGATAAAACTTGTATTAACAGTATTAAAACTGTAATAACTTGACACAAGGGTGAGAAATGGCAGTAAAGTATTTCAAATACTTTTTGATTTAAACAGATCCCCCTCTCTCTAAACACTGGCTCAGTGTTTGAATTTTCCATATTCATATTTCATACAGATCAAATAAAAGTGACTAAAGCATTTAACAAAAAAAAGTTTATTACCAAAATACAATATTAAAGTCAATACGTGACAAACTCCTGTAAAGCAAAATAAATTATTCTAACATTGTACAGTATTCCAGAAGGTAGTTAAAGTAGTACTACAGACTTTGCTTCATAGTTCCAAACAGTTGTCTATCAGGAACACAATCCTAGAGAGAGCTTAAGGCATGCAGCTTAATGTGCTGGATAACTTTATAAAACAAAACTCATCCTATTTAATAAGATACAGTATCAGAATTAACTGCAGTCTTTACATGTCAGTTTTCTAAATTTTTTTATACTTTGGCTATAAAAGCAGTGCCATAGTGTTACAATACCTTTTCTTAAAAAAATACATGTACCCATGTCCATGAATATCAAATGCAAATGTAAATTTCTATTAAATATATCTTAACAAATGTTACTTTGAGCACCAACTGTACATTTCTTCAAATGATTAAATAAGTGCTTATGAAAGAGGAAAATACAATAACTCTGACTGAATCCCACTCTATTTTTCCAAGCATAAATCAGGAAGATGAAATATGCAAATTTTTCAGTACAGCCCAGTCTGAATGAAGTTTGCTCTTTAGTGGAAGTATAGGCATTTAAAACAAAGCTGCAAGTTACAGTTCATATCACAGAATAAAATCTAATTTAAACAAACAGCACGTGAGTAGCTGATCACCTGACAGTGCTGTGACCAAAGATCCAAGAATGTTTTAAAAGCTTAAAGAAAGGGGAAAACCCCAGTGTTTGTGACTTTGAAATGCACTTAAACCCCCTTCCAAAACATGCAGCCAAGCCAACCATGGGCTTTTGAAAGCAGATAACCTGAGGAACAATTTGCTTTCAGAAAAACTAAGTCTATGATTACATGCAGAACTCCTGACAGAGTCCATGGGAATTGAGTGGGTAACTAAAGGCAAGCAGCATGGAGACAGATAAAAAAATAAACCTCTGTATGTGGGAAAGAATTCTTTGTTGGCGTTTGTTAGGACTGATAATGGTTTTTAGTGGCAAGTAGCTTTCTACTATTTTATAGGAACATGTGGTCAAAAAGAAAAAAGCAACAAGATGGCAAAGAACTGAGAATAGCCATGTCCTGCTCAGTAATCCCATGACACTGATTCCTGGTGCACTGCACACAGTGCTGCAAGTGTGCCTTCCACAGACACCAAAGC